ACAAGGCCACCATCACCCTGATACCAAAACCAGACAAAGACAACAGAAAAAGAAAACTACAGGCCAATATTACTGATTAACATAGATACAGAATTCCTCAACAAAATTTTAGCAAACAGTATTCAGCAACACATCAAAAAGCTCATATACCATGATCAAGTTGGGTTTATTCCAGGAATGTAAGGATTCTTCAATATATGCAAATCAATCTGATACCCCATATTAACAAATTGAAAGATAAAAATCATATCAATCTCAATAGATGCAGAAAAATCCTTTGACAAAATTCAGCACCCATTTATGAGTAAAACTCTTCAAAAATGTACATAGAAGAAACCTACCTCAACATAATAAAGGCCATATATGATAGGCCTACAGAAAACGTTATTCTCAATGGTGAAAAACTGAAAGCATTCCCCCTAAGATCAGGAAAAAGACAAGGGTGTACACTTTCACTACTGTTTTTTAACATAGTTCTGGAATTCCTAGCTACAGCAATCAGAGAAGAAAAAGAAATAAAAGGAATCCAGATTGGAAAAGAAGAAGTAAAGTTCTTCCTGTTTGCAGGTGACATGATACTGTACACAGAAAACCCAAAAGATAGTATCAGAAAATTACTACAGCTAATTAGTGAATTTAGCAAAGTTGCAGGATACAAAATCAACACACAGAAATCACTTGCATTTCTATATACTAACAATGAAAAATCAGAAAGAGAAATTAAGGACTCAACCCCATTCACCATTGCAGCAAAAAGAAATATCTGAGAATAAACTTACCTAAGGAAACAAAAGAACTGGACACAGGAAATTATAAGACACTGATGAAAGAAATCAAAGACAACATAAACAGATGGAGAGATATTCCTGATAGGGAGAATCAATATTGTGAAAATGACTGTACTACCAAACACAATCTACAGATTCAATGTGATCACTATCAAATTACCAATGGCATTTTTCACAGAAGTAGAACAGAAAATTTCACAATTCTTATGGAAACACAACCCGAATAGCCATAGCAGTCTTGAAAAAGAGGAATGAAGCTGGAGCAATCAACCTTCCTGACTTCAGATTATACTACAAAGCTACAGTCATCAAGACAGTGTGGTTCTGGCACAAAAAGAGAAATATAGACCAATGGAATGAGAGAAAAAGCCCAGAAATAAACCCCTGCACCTATGGGTGCCTTTGTTTTTTACAAAGAAGGCAAGAATATACAATGGGGCAAAGACAGCCTCTTCTATAAACGGTTCTGGGAAAACTGGACAGCTACTTGTAAAAGAATGAAATTGAAATACTTCCTAACATCACGCACAAAGATAAACTCAAAGTGGATTAAAGACCTAAATGTAAGACCAGGAACTATAAAACTCTTAGAGGAAAACACAGGCAGAACACTTGATGACATAAAGCAAGATCCTCTATGACACACCTCCTAGAGTAATGGAAATAAAAACAAAAGTAAACAAGTGGAACCTGATTAAACTTAAAGGCTTTTGCACAGCAAAAGAAACTATAAGCAAGGTGAAAAGACAACCCTCGCAATGGGAGAAGATAATAGCAAATGAAAAAACTGACAAAGGATTAAGTTCCAAAATATACAAGCAGCTCATACAACTCAATACCAGGAAAACAAACAACCCAATCAAAAAGTGGGAAAAAGACCTAAACAGACATTTCTCCAAACAAGACATACAGATAGCTAACAAACACATGAAAAGATGCTCAGCATCGCTCATTATTAGAGAAATGCAAATCAAAACCACAATGGAGATATCACTTCACACCAGTCAGAATGGCCATCATCAAAAAGTCTACAAACGATAAATGCTGGAGAGGGTGTGGAGAAAAGGGAATGCTCTTGCACTGTTGGTGGGGATGTAAATTGATACAGCCGCTGTGAAAGACGATATGGAGATTCCTTAAAAACCTGAGAATAAAACCACCATAGAAAGAAAGAAAGGAAAGAAAGTGAAGTAGCTCAGTTGTGTCTGACTCTTTGCAACCCCATGGACTGTAGCCTACCAGGCTCCTCTGTCCATGGGATTTTCCAGGCAAGGGTACTGGAGTGGGTTGCCATTTCCTTCTCCAGGAGATCTTCCCAATCCAGGGATCGAACCTGGGTCTCCCACATTGCAGGCAGATGTTTTACCATCTGGCCACCAGGGAAGCCACCGTATGACCCAGCAATCCCACTCCTAAGCATATACCCTGAGGAAATCAGGGTTGAAAAAGACACATGTATCTCATTGTTCATTGCAGCATTATTTACAATAGCTAGAGCATGGAAACAACCTAGATGCCCATCAACATATGAATGGATAAAGAAGTCCTGGTACATACACACAATGGAATATTACTCAGCCATAAAAAGGAATGCATTTGAGTCAGTTCTGATGAGGTGGGTGAACCTAGAGCCTATTATACAGAGTAAAGTGAGTCAGAAAGAGAAAGATAAATATCATATTCTAACACACATACATGGAATCTAGAAAAATGGTTCTGAAGAATTTATTTACAGGGCAGCAGTGGAGAAACAGACATAGAGAATAGATTTATGGACATGGGAGAGGGGAGGAGCGGGTGAGATGTATGGAAAGAGTAACATAGCAACTTATATTACCATATGTAAAATAGATAACCAACAGGAATTTGCTGTACTTTTATTAATAGCATTTACTCACACAAATATAATCTGGGGAAGGTTAAACATCACTTCTTATTTGACAGTGTTTCTAATGCAGTTTAACATATCAAATAAACTGAATTATCTCAAACATCTATGTTTGTAAAAGATGAAAGAACAAACCCTTTTGAGTTTTTCAAGATCAAGGTTTATTTAGGATTTCATTTGGGAAATGAAAAATATCAAAAGTTGTCAAAATGTCAAAGGTTTTGAACACTTGATCAAATAGATCACAGGTCACTTTTTAAAAAAAGACTTAGTTCACTTAAAGTACCAGAAATTACTCCAGTAGACATAGAATTTTTGTTTTCTTAGATGGATTCCTTAAAAGGTAAAGAAAAATCTATTATTATCTCTTAGGAGTAGACCAATAGTCCAGTAAACTTTATTCTTTTAGGAGAGGAAAAAAACCAGTAATAGTTGGCACGTGTACACTATTGATATTAAAGCTCATTTTAAAACCTTATAATAAATCCGTTCAGTCTTAACTAACTTGACCACATGAGATAAACTTCTCTCATTCTTGTTTTTGTTGTTGTTTTCCCCATAGACTGTTTACAACTTTCCATATCAATTCAGGTTTTTGTCCTTTTACTTTCCTCTTTCTCTGAAACAGTCTTTAAATGACCTTCAAATAACTACTTTAGGACAAAATTACTCTTTTTTTCCCCCCTTAACAAAAGTGTACTCTACCTTCATTCCTTGGATATTTTCCATACAGAGGTATTTACCTTAATCCGAGTTCATTTCTAGTAGTTTTGTTTACATATAAAATAATGATAATTTTTAACCATTAGTAGCCTTTATTTTATAGAAAATATTGTGTAGTAGACAACAGAATTACATGTCGTATACTAACATTTTGTAGCAGATTAGCACATTTGATGAATGTATTACCTCATAACTTCTAGACATATACCCGTCTTCATAGTACACCTCAGTGCAACAAGAACATGTTTATTAACCGACCTGAATACCTTTAGTTTCTTTGTAAGAATAAGACAAAATATATGTACTTAAATTATCTTCAGGCTTCCCTGGTAGCTCAGCTGGTAAAGAATCTGCCTGCAATGCGGGAGACCTGGGTTCAATCCCTGGGTTGGGAAGATCCCCTGGAGAAGGGAAAGGCTACCCACTCCAGTATAGTTAATGTTCCTATGTATTATGTCACTTAGGAATGATCCTGATATTCAATAAATATCTGTTATTTGACATGATATAACTTAGAAAGCTCAAGTTATCAAAAAGGTTTTAGAAGAGCTTCAAAATAGTCATATTTTAAAACATACTTATTGTTGAAATAAAGTTTGCTAGAATAGTGATTCAATTTGATTAAAATCAAACCTGTAAGTTTTATAACCTTAAACATCAGGTAAGTGATAATACTAGCTTATCAGACTAGTAAATCCAAGTAGAATGAAATGTATGCCTGCGTTATACTTAATGCTGACAACTTTGAGGACATTGCTGTTTTTTTTTTTTTTAAACAATGGTATTAAAGTTATGTTATTTACCAAATCACATTGTTTTCAAATCATTTGAACTTGAAAAGCATTTTGGTTAGTTTCTGTATTACTGAGGGTTGTAGGAATATTAAGAATAAATCCCCTACATATGGAAGAGTTCTGTTCTGAGAGTGATTCATAAGTCCAGTTTGTTCGTAAGTCCAACAAAGTGACCTTAGGTACTCAACTAACACAATCGGCTATGTAGCACTGTACTGTAATAGGTTTATAATATTCACACAAATAACAGATAAAAAACAAAGCATTTTTAACCTTACAGTGAAATACCTTAAAAAGTACAATAGTACATACAGTACGACAGCTGACATACAGGGACTGACACAAAGTGAATAGGCAAAGAGACTTGCTGATGGGGGAGGGAAAGGAGGTGGGAGATGGTAGAGCTAAAGGATCAGTCAGCAATAGGAGGCGGACGACAGACTGTAATTTCACACATGCCTGATGCTGATGGCACAGGTTCTGGTTCCTTGCTGGATTCAGTTCTGTCTGCCCTCTAAATGATCCAGTGATGCCTGGGTAGTACTTCTTTTCTCATCATAGATGATATGGTGGCACTGGATTGCATTCTCAGTGGCTGCTGTGATTTTCCTGTACTTTTCTACTTTCAGGTCCTGTGCCTCAGAAACAGTGCCTCCTCAGATAAAGAAAATCCCCTGCCAATTCTTGCACTGTGAATTTCTTCAGTTATTTCGTCTTCCTCTTGTCTCTCCACTGTCTCAACTATTTTTATTTTTGTTTCCTTCATTATCATTTGCTGCTGCTTAGCAGTACCATGCTTGCTTCCAGATATCCTGGATTTGAAATAAAGACACTCTACTACTATATTGAAGAAAGCGGGGAAAACCACTAGATCATTCAGGTATGACCTAAATCAAATCCCTTGTGACTAGACAGTGGAAGTGAGAAATAGATTTAAGGGATTAGATCTGATAGACAGAGTGCCTGATGAACTATGGATGGAGGTTTGTGACATTGAACAGGAGACAGGAAGCAAGACCATCCCCAAGAAAAAGAAATGCAAAAAAGCAAAGTGGCTGTCTGAGGAGGCCTTACAAATAGCTGTGAAAAGAAGAGAAGCAAAAAGCAAAGGAGAAAAGGAAAGATATACACATGTGAATGCAGAGTTCCAAAGAATAGCAAGGAGAGATAAGAAAACCTTCCTCAGTGATCAGTGCAAAGAAACAGAGTAAAACAATAGAATGGGAAAGACTAGAGATCTTTTCAAGAAAATTAGAGATACCAAGGGAACATTTCATGCAAAGACGGGCTCAGTAAAGGACAGAAATGGCATGGACCTAACAAAAGCATATTCTTAATATTAAGAAGAAGTGGCAAGAATACACAGACGAACTATACAGAAATCTTCACGACCCAGATAATCACGATGGTGTGATCACTCACACTCACCTAGAGCCAGACATCCTGGCATGTGAAGTGAAGTGGGCCTTAGGAAGCATTATTACGAACAAAACTAGTGGAAGTGATGGAATTCCAGATGAGTTATTTCAAATCCTGAAAGATGATGCTTTGAAAGTGCTGCACTTAATATGTCAGCAAATTTGGAAAACTCAGCAGTGGCCATAGGACTGGAAAAGGTCAGTTTTCATTCCAATCCCAAAGAAAGACAATGCCAAAGAATGCTCTAACTACCGCACAATTGCACTCATCTCACATGCTAGTAAAGTTAGGCTCAAAATTCTCCAAGCCAGGCTTCAGCAATACATAAACCGTGAACTTCCAGATGTTCAAGCTTGTTTTAGAAAAGGCAGAGGAACCAGAGATCAAATTGCCAACATCTTCTGGATCATTGAAAAAGCAAGAGAGTTCCAGAAAAACATCTATTTCTGCTTTATTGACTATGCCAAAGCCTTTGACTGTGGATCACAATAAACTGGAAAATTCTGAAGGAGATGGGAATACCAGACCACCTGACCTGCCTCTTGAGAAACCTGTATGCAGGTCAGGAAGCAACAGTTAGAACTGGACATGGAACAACAGACTGGTTCCAAATAGGAAAAGGAGTACATCAAGGCTGTATATTGTCACCCTGCTTATTTAACTTGTATGCAGACACATCATGAGAAACGCTGGGCTGGAGGAAGCACAAGCTGGAATCAAGATGATCGGGAGAAATATCAATAACCTCAGATATGGGGATGACACCACCCTTATGGCAGAAAGTGAGGAGGAACTAAACAGCTTCTTGATGAAAATGAAAGAGGAGAGTGAAAAAGCTGTCTTAAATCTCAACATTCAGAAAACTAAGATCATGGCATACGGTCCCATCACTTCATGGCAAATAGGTGGGGAAAAGTGGAAGCACTGGCAGACTTTATTTTTGGGGGCTCCAAAATCACTGCAGATGGTAATTGCAGCCATAAAATTAAAAGATGCTTACTCCTTGGAAGGAAAGTTATGACCAACTTAAACAGCATATTAAAAAGCAAAGACATTACTTTGCCAACAAAGGTCTGTCTAGTCAAGGCTATGGTTTTTCCAGTAGTTATGTATTGATGTGAGAGTTGGACTATAAAGAGGGCTGAGCCCTGAAGGATTTATGTCTTTGAATAGTGGTGTTGAAGAAGACCTGAGAATCCCTTGGACTGCAAGGAGATCCAACCAGTCCATCCTAAAGATTAGTTCTGGGTGTTCATTGGAAGGACTGATGTTGAAGGTGAAACTCCAATACTTTGGCCACCTGATGCGAAGAGCTGACTCATTTGAAAAGACCCTGGTGCTGGGAACGATTGAGGGCAGGAGGAGAAGGAGACGACAGAGGATGAGATGGTTGGATGGCATCACCGACTCAATAGTCCTGAGTTTGGGTAAACTCTGGGAGTTGGTGATGGACAGGGAGGCCTGGCGTGCTGCAGTTCATGGTGTTGCAGAGAGTGGACCCAACCGAGTGACTGAACTGAACTGAACTACCGTATTCTGTGTAATACTGTCTAGGAAAGTATACAAAAGCACAGCCACCTGTAGAGGATGCACGCATTTAACAGTGTACACCAGACGTGTGAATTAAGCTATATGATTGGACATACGAATACATGTTCACATCTTTGAGAGTTTGCAACTTGCAGGTTCATATGTAGGGGACTTACTGTAGTTTATATAAGTACTTACTTTTCCCTAAGTCGATTAGAATAGAGCTTCTTTGTTAATTTAGTATATGGAGATAGGAAAATATTACATATGCCTAACATATTTTTAGGCAGGAAAGTATAGAGCTTTGTGACTTTCATCCTAAAATTTTAGCTATGCATCAGACATAAATACAGTAATACAGAATCCACTCATTTATATGTAAGAATTCTCATCTTTGTCCCACCTTGTTTTTTTACTGAATAGTGTATCTGGTAAATGGGAGAAATTACCTGCTCAGTATAAGGGCAACAGCTTTTTACCTCTATTTTGGAAGAGTTTTAAGGTTTTCTTTTGTCCTGATATATAATCTTGTGGAGAATGTGGACTAGCAGTTAACCTTTTTATCCAAGTGGTTGCTTTTGTGGGTTCTGAGTCCTTAGAGGGAGTGGACAGGGGGCTGAAGTTCCAATGACTCTAGGGAGTTGAGGGGCTCACGTGCAATGGGCAAAAGCCTTGGAGAAGCCAGCTTAGGAAATCTTGTTTTTCTAAAGAAGCTTTGGAAGTTCTAAATTAGTCTTGTAAAGGCATACCAACAAGGGAGAAAGCAGAGAGTTAGAGTTAGTGGTGTAGTGGCAGAGTATATGGTCAGCAGGGGTTTGAGATGGACGATATCAGTTGACTTAAGTTCCCATGACAGGAGCAGGACCCAGTAGTGAGAACAGAGAGGCTTGAAACAGAAGTCCAAGAACTCACAGCCTGAAGTAAGCATAGAACCTTCAAAGCAGCAGAGAGACCTGGAAACCAAAGTCAGAAATAACTTTCATCCCAGGATATACCTTATAAAAAAGAAGCCTGGGACTCTAACTCAGCTTCAGAAGGTAAGCTAATTCAAAATGTGATGCAAACCATACGGCTTTTTATGGGTTAGGCATAGCTTCAAGAGACATCCCCCCAGAAGGTACACAGAAGTGACATGTCTATGTAAATCTTTTGCCATTTTAAAATTCAGTCATTTTGTGTTATTAGTTATAACAACTTAAAATATATATATTCTGGATACGTTTGTTATCAGAAATATAATTGGCAAATATTTTCTCCCAGCCTGTGGCTTGTCATTTGATTTTCTTTTGAACTGCAGCAAATATTTGATTTTGATAAAGACCAGCTTATGAATTTGTTTCTTTATAGGTTGTACTTTGGTATTACATTTAAGAGCAGTTTTCATGTTGAAAAGTTCTCAGAGATAGTCTCTTTTATTTTTTTCAAGAAGTTTTATAGTTTTAGGTTTTACATTTTAGTATATGATCCATTTTGAGTTAATTTTTGTGTGTCAGCTAATGTTCTCATGCATTCTCATTGGAGGAGATAATTGGTTCTTGAAGAATGAAAAAAATCTTGCTGTATTTATGTGTAAACCAGAGATAGAGCAGATAAACAGGGACTTCTCTGGTGGTCCAGTGGTTCAGAATCTGCCTTGAAATGCAGAGGGCATGGGTTCAATCCCTGGTCTAGGAACTAAGATCCCACATGGCTTGGGGCAGCTAAGCCTGCTGTGCCACATGAAGGTCTTGTATGCCCCAGCTAAGACCCAGTGCAACCAAGTAAATATTAAAAAAAGATAAATAGGATATTTGTTGTATTAAAAATTTTTGAGGGGAGGGCAAATTAAGTTTAAAATATCTCAAGGCACTTAGGATTGTGTAATGAAAACTTGAGGAACACAGTCTAAATTAAACTTTATGCACGCTATGCTTAGTTGCTAAGTCGTGTAAGACTCTTTGCGACCCCATGGACTGTAGCCCACCAGGCTTCTCTGTTCAAGGGATTCTCCAGGCAAGAATACTGGAGTGGATTGCCATGCCCTCCTCCAGAGGATCTTCCCAACTGAGGGATCAAACCCAGGTCTGCTGCACTGCAGGCGGAATCTTTACCATCTGAGCCGCCAGGGAAGTGGGTGCACAATTATTCCAGCCCTATTTATTGAAAAGACTTTCCTTTCCTCACTGAATTGTCTTTTAACCTTTGTTGAAAAATCAGTTGACCATGAATATAAGGGTTTGTTTTTGAACTCTCAGTTTTATTACATTGATCTATGTCAGATATGGCTTTAAGATCACATGTAATTGTAGAATAACTTTTCAGGTGCTTCAAAAATTAGCACTTTAAAATTAATTCCTTATAATTTTTATTTGAAAGAAGATGTATAATTTTTCATTGAAGGAAGATGCATGTTTCTAATTTTCCCCAAGTAAAAATTGCATCTGAAAATTTTATTTATAGTGAAATGGGAAGTCTTTTGTTCAAATATATTTTATAAGGTCAGGAAACTTTGATTTGTACTTTAAGAATGAAGTTATTTAGATTCTTTCAAATGCCTGTTTAACTCAAAACATTAAAGAACCAGCAGTTGTTTCAGACAAAAGTCATAAAATATAATCATTCTCATCAATGCATTAAATCCCTGTTATTAATTCTTATTCTGCTTGAGTCCAGTTTTTTGATTGAGTTCTGGAAATTTTTATCCATTTCAGTGGTATGATTTTAAAGTTATCTGTACTTGTATTCTAGGTTGGGGAGGGGGAGCGAGGTTTAAAAGGGAGGGTATATATATATATATATATATATATATATATGTGTGTGTGTGTGTGTGTGTGTGTGTGTGTGTGTGTGTGTGTGTGTGTATGTGTATACACACACACACATATAGCTGATTCACTTTGCACAGCAGGAACTAACACAACATTGTAAAGCAATTATACTCCAAAAACCCCCAAAACCCTGTATTCTAGAGTACTTGTCAGTCCTTTCCATGAATTTTTCTAAAGATGATGAATTACTTTTGCAAATGCATGGCCATTCTGATGTGTGCTTAATAAGAAAACTAAGTTATTTCTGAGATATAATTTAAGATTAATAATTGGACAAGAAGGATATTGGCAAATTCGGTGATGTTCAAACAATTTTTAGAATACCTATATTAGTAACATATGTCCATACACATATAATCTAAAAGGCTTATCACCTGCCTGACAGAGATGAGAGACCTGTGTATTGAAAAAACTATAAGACATTAATGAAAGCAGTAGAAGACAGTTAAATGGAAAGACAATCTGTGCTCATGGATTGGAAAAATTAATATTGTTAAAATTTCCATACTACCTAAATCTACAGATTCAGTGCAGTGCCTATTAAAATTCCAATGGTATTTTCCACAGAGTAAACAGCCGTAAAATTTGTATGGAACCAGAGGAAGACCTTGAGTAGCCAAAGCAATCTAGAGGACAGAGAATAAAGCTGGAGGCATTATACTCCTTTATTTTGAACTATATTACAAAGCTATAATAATTAAAACAGTTTGGCATATTGGCATTAAAAACAGACACATAGATCAGTGGAACAGAATAGAAAGCCCAGAATTAAACCCAAACTTATATGGTAAATTAATATATCACAAAGAAAGCTAGAATATGCTATGGGGATAGTAGAGTTTCTTCTGTAAATGGTACTGGGAAAATTGGATAGCCAGATGCAAAGAAGGAAAGTGGATCACTATCTTACAGTGTACACAAAAATTAACTCAAAATGGGTTAAAGACTTGAAATTAAGACCTGAAAGCATAGTAGTCCTAGAAGAACTCATAGGCTGTAAGCTCCTTGACATAGGTCTTGGCTGTGATATTTTGAATCTGACACAAAAGCTAAAGCAATAAAAGCAAAAATAAGTGGGACTGCATTGAAGTAAAATTCTTCTGCACAGTAAAGGAAACCATCAACAAAATGAAAATGCAACCTACTGAATGGTAGAAAATAATTGCAAATCACAATCTGATAAGGGGCTTATATCCAAAATATACAAAACGTTTATACAAGATAATAGCAAAACCCCCAAGTAATCATGCTTATGTAATGAACCCCAATAAAAACTGGAATTTTTATCCTTGAATGTGTTTCCCTGGTAAACAATACTCTGTGCATTGTTATGCATCGATGTGCCAGGTGAGCTTCTCAGGTGGTGCTAGTGGTAAAGAACCTGCCTGCCAGTGCCAGTTCTGTGACTACAGAACTCAGAAAAGCACTATACTCACAATTGCAGAATTGCTATTTCAAGAAAGTACATAAATCAGGCTTAGCCAAAATAAGATAGGCATATAACCCCAGATTTATAGTTAGTTGGTCATGAGTATGGGTGGGCTGGAGCCCCTCAGCTCCATGGCTGGTTTCTGGGGTGGTAAAGGATCGTGCCTCACTGTGAAAGACTGTGCCCTAGCTTGTAAAGACTGGCTCGACTCTGGGTCATTCATGACCCAGTTGCCTCGCAGGATCAATAGTATAAGGGGATTGGGTAGCCCATCTTTCTGTAAGGAGAACTGCACTTTATCTTCCAGTTTGCAGAATGAGTCGCTGGCCCTGAGCTCTGTGAGTCCTCGAGTCCAGAGCCCTCTAGTTTACTATGTAAAATGGAAACCTACAGTCTTTCACTAGGAGAAGTAAAGAGGTTGTAGTTGGATTATATAAGCAGATTTTCAACCAGTACTTCAGTTTCCAACTTCACTTTCACTCAGAAGTACCTAGTGTTTTCCATTTCTTTGTCTTTCTGACATTCTTTTTTCTTTCTTTCTTTCTTTTTAATGCCCAAACATCTATAACTCAGATCAGTTCAGTCACTCAGTCATGTCTGACTCTTTGCGAACCCATGGTCTGCAGCACACCACGCCTCCTTGTCCATCACCAACTCCCAGACCTGGCTCAAATTCATGTCTGTCGTGTTGGTGATGCCATCCATCCATCTCATCCTCTGTCTTCCCCTTCTCCTCCTGCTCCCAATCCCTTCCAGCATCGGGGTCTTTTCAAATGAGTCAGCTCTTCACATCAGGTGGCCAGAGGATTGGAGTTTCAGCTTCAGCGTCAGTCCTTCCAATGGATATTCAGAAATGATTTCCTTTAGGATGGACAGGGTGGATCTCCTTGCTGTACAAGGGATTCTTAAGAGTCTTCTCCAACACCACAGTTGAAAAGCATCAATTCTTCAGCACTCAGCCTTTCAGACAGTGGGTATGACTGTCTAGGTTTTTTTTTTTTTTTTTCATTTATTTCTATTAGTTGGAGGCTAATTACTTTACAATATTGTGGTGGTTTTTGCCATACATTGACATGAATCAGCCATGGATTTACATGTGTTCCCCATCCCGATCCCCACTCCTGCCTTCCTCCCCATCCCATTGCTCTGGGTCTTCCCAGTGCACCAGCCCTGAGCACTTGTCTCATGCATCCAACCTGGGCTGGTAATCTGTTTCACCCTTGATAGTATACTTGTTTCAATGCCATTCTCCCAAATCATCCCACCCTCGCCTTCTCCCACAGAGTCCAAAAGTCTGTTCTGTACATCTGTGTTTCTTTTTCTGTTTTGCATATAGGATTATGGTTACCATCTTTTTAAATTCCATATATATGCATTAGTATACTGTATTGGTGTTTATCTTTCTGGCTTACTTCACTCTGTATAATAAGCTCCAGTTTCATCCATCTCATTAGAACTGATTCAAATGAATTCTTTTTAATGGCTGAGTAATATTCCATGGTGTATATGTACCATAGCTTC